ATATAAATACAAAACGAAATGTAGACTTTTAAATGAGAGTGTGACTAATGAGAGTTTATTGTATTTCTTTAAAAAATGCACTTACTCAGTTTTATTTCATAACAAAATTATCAGAAATTATTGTATGCGATTTTAATATCATCAGAGAATTGTCAGAAAAATTATGAAATAATATAATATATATTGACCCAAAGGTGACCTGGCCTTTGGTGTATATTTTCGTGGGGGGAAATGTGGACTTTTGTGCGTTGGTGTCCCCCTACGATTTTCTCTTATGAAATCGAATTTGTTTTTCTATTTTTCTTTTTTCTTCTTAATGCTAAATATATATGAAAAAGTTATATATAGTACATATGGAATATTATGCTGTCTATCTATACATTTAACTGTATTTTTTTCAATGTTCTATTTTATCGATGTGTTTACATCTAAATATATGTATATCAAATATGAAATACATGTATAATAGTCTTTCTATCTGATCCAGGGAGCTCCTGGCACCCCAGGTGAAGATATATTTATGAGGGCCTCTGAGGAGGTATTACCTACACTTTTTTGTTAATAAATTTTTGAAATAAAATGTAATAAAAAAAAAATTAAAAAAAAATCTTTGTTTAGACAACGTTCTCCTACATTCTCCTCTGGTTAACTGTTAAAAATGTTTTATCCTTGTATATCTAAACCTGTACATTGTTTAATAAACTGTTGATAGGTTTTATCCATGTATAAATAAAGCTGTACATTCTAAAAAAAAAATTTAAAAAAAAAAAAAAAAAAAAAAAAAAAAAAAAAAAAAAAGTTATCATCGCCATGGAACGATTGGCTGCGACAGGACGAAATGTTCACAGTTATAAAAAATATTTTACAACACAGAAACAAATAGGTTACTTAATTCTTAGTTACATTATCGCTTTGGTCTTTGTTTCCATTGTTCTGGGAGTAAACTACGATAATTAGTCAAATCCACGATTCATATGGAAATAATCATAAATACATACTGTTCATATACGGTTGTACTGTCTTGATACTGGTGGCTATTATCGTATCCTTATCTTCTGTCTGCACCTACCGTGTAATAAAATCTTACTTAAAAAAAAAGGACTGTGCTGCCGATGCAAGAAAGCTATTCTTATAAAGCCCAACTGAAAATACAAAGTTTAAATGAAAGATTTAGGTACCCAAGACGAAACGAAGGGGTACCTGTTGAAGAACCCAGCACTTCAACGGTGACAATTCCTGTCTCATCATGGAATACCTCAGAAAGAACAGTTGATGAATTAGCATCAAATTTGAAGAAGGATATTTTATAAAAAAAAAAATTAACGAATTAAAAATGTTCGATTTCCATCTTAAGGTACCCTCATTCACTGTGACTCGTGAAGAGGTACCGAACTTCTGATCTCTCGCTTGGCCTGTGGAGGTACCGGAATGGATTTCATTTCAGTTTGTTTTTTTTTTTTATTATTTATTTATTTCCTTGACATTTTCTTTCTGGACCTGAGCCGCCGCCATGGTTGGGGAGTGGAGATGTTACCCAACCTGTATGAAATACAACCAAGGCAGTCAAGATTCAGCTTTCCACTCTTTATTAAATTATAAAATCTAATTGTAATCATTATGATTACAATTAATAATTTCACACAATATACTAAATATTATACTAAACATCATTAGTTCTAATATAAAAAAAGATGTTATCTGTAAATAAATTAAGCCGTGTGAAAATTTATATAATTTAACAAAAACCGCGCAAGTTACGAAAATTATCTCACCTGTATGAAATACAACCAAGGCAGTCAAGATTCAGCTTTCCACTGAAATCTTGTCTATCCTGGCCGTTCATTTCATACCAGGTTTACGTTTGTAGATTTCCATATCCATATTTGTAACTCGTTCGAAATTTGCAATAATTACTTCTTATTTTGATTTGAATTTTAATTACTAGTATTCTGACCTTTGGTACTTTTTAAACATTTAATGCACTTTTAAAATAATTTCCGATCTTTTGCATAATCTTTAAATATTGTTTTCCGTAGTTAATTTATCCAAATATTTGACCTCTGGTCACTTCAATGTTATTGGTCGCTCCTTCCTCCTAACAAAATGCCTTTCCTAATAAACGATTCATTTCTTGGAACTGGCCAGGTTAAAGTTCAACTTTTATTTGTTTACCAATTTAACTGCTTCTATATGATCGCGCCCACGTGTGCTATCTCCGCCAAGTTAATTACGCTGAGCTGACCAGTACAAATTCATCCCATATTTTATCTTCTTGTTTTTAGTGCAATTTTTGTTATGATAGATATACAAGACAAATTAAATTCAAAGCAAGTTGGTCCATGCAGTCAAAGGGTAGAGAAGAGACATACATCTCTTTCAACAGAAAAATCAATTTCATCAAAAGTATCGAAGTTTAAGCGTGATTTCTAGATTATTAAGACATTTTTGCTAATTATTCTTGTCGTGATATGTTTTAATGTTCCCTACTGGTTCGTAAGAATTCTTGTTGTCAAAGATGAAAGCCTTGTTCCACGGCTTGTCAAACATGTGTGTTTTATAATCTCCGGCGCACAGTATGTAATTAATTCTATCATATACTTTCTCAGAATAGATGCTTTTCGAAAAGCTTTTTCATGTGCAAACCATAGATAATTAAGAGTATTTCAGAAATCCATAAACAAAACAAAGAATTTTTGAAAAATTGCATCAAAACGGATCACTGGAAATTTCAGAAATGGGATCTGATCCCCAGGGTGCTTAAACATCCCTAGTTAATCAGTATTTCCCAGTCAAATTTGGTATGATAATTAAAGACCTAAGAATAAGCAAAATACCCCTGACAAAATCAATACTGAGTTAACTATAATTTAATATTGCTAACTGTTTTATATTGTATACAGTAATATGCTTGTATTTAACTTTCTGAAGTTACATCTTCCTAATAAGAAACAGAAATTTTGAATAATTTTCATTTTGACGGTTTAAATTTTATAACTTTAATTCATTTTGAGTAAATTTTATGACCACAATTTTAAGTTTTATTCAATGTTCTTCATACGTTTTTGAAAATACTGAATGACTGAAACATCCAGAACAAGAATTCTGTTATCCACTGCTCACTAGAAATACTCCCACTCGCAGTACCTCTAGTTTAGAGCTTGCTCTATTCCACTATTTTACTCAGTTCTTTGTATATTTTTTCAGAGAGAAAGAGAGAGAGAGAGAGAGTGAAATATAAAAATCGGAACAAACACTTTCATTTTTGTTACGTTTTCTTCATACTGAAGCAAAATATGAAGACCATTTTTTTATTATATATAATTCGCACATGTACCCGTATTTTAACAAACCATACACACTCAAAACTAGAGGTACTGTAAGCTATGAACTCACAAGATGATACCCCCCCCCCCCTCCGAATCCCATATGGTTATAATGGTAAAGATCATGTTTTGTTCTGTGAAACCAGAAATAAGTGTTAAATCAAGAAGTGTTGATTGTTTAAGAATGTGGGGATTTTTCCTTGCCTTGATGAAACACCGGTAATTCTTGATTGATACATATGTAACAAACATAAAAGTCACGAAAAAATTCGCTTTATAATACTTTGTCTTAATGGTTGTTATTAGGTTTTAATTTGTTCTTTTTATTATTTATCATCAGATATTCATTAAATTGTGATTTTATGTAAAAGAAAAAGTTGTTTGCATTAACTGCTACCCGATGGGCGTGCTATGACAAGGAACCAAAACGTATTGAGATTTCGTTTATGAATAACAGTGCCTTAAATATTAGTTAATTCAGTTAAGTGTGATGTTTTGCAGTATGCACCTATGATGACAGCTGCGCTAAAGGCAAATAGTACACGCCTCCTAACCGCAAGCTTTACGACTGGAACTTTCTTCTTAACCCTGATTGGTTGCACGCGCAACGGACTATTTCCGTATCAATGTTGATAATATGAGTTGACCATTTTTCAACGGGGGTCGATTTTTTATAGGACTAACATATAAAATAAATACCCCTGGGGCTCTTTCTCTACAAAAATGGTTTCTTTTCTACGGCTGGAGGGTCATCTTGCTGACCCCCTCAATGATTTACTTTAACTGTTTTATTGTACAAAAATTTCCAAAGCCAGCGACTGCAATTCTATTTTAAACGCAGTGCAATTATATAGGAAATGTTTTATGCTGGTTCTCAAATACCCTATTTTAAACTAGACTATTAATAGTTTATTTTGTACCATGGTTTATTTTGATAAAAACATTGGAGGGAAAACGACGGAGATATGATTTTTTAATGACACAAATTTCAGTGCAAAAAGGTCATATTAAGCTTTGTGTGTAGAAACTAAACACATATACCTGATAAAAAACAATTTTTAAACACTTTAATTATCAGGATCCAACCTCATTAAGCGTGAGGGAATATTTAAATTTTGTTCTTCTATATGTGTAATTATTTATCGTCATTCGTGTTATGTATGTCTAAGAGGGGTAACATAACCTTCTTTGTGATCCAAAGTACTAATATTTGTTATGGTCAAACTGCATAGATAAGAAAAATTAATATTATTTATATATAAGATGGAAAGTATACGATCTACATACGTCATGTTTTTCACAATCTAACATATTGGCAAACAAACATAAAATTGTTTATAACGTGTATTCAACAGAAACTAATTAATTCCGGGTGTAGAGATAGAAAACTGCCAGATAATAATATGCTTGATTGATGATATTTTATCACTCGATATTCCATTCACAATGTTGTTCAAATCCTTTAGTGCTGATTCATTTATTGTACATATACAGTGTCTCAGGACTACGCAATTCATATACTCTTACGCAATTCTCATACACGGTATAAAACATGTTTAAAACGTTCAGAAAATTCATTTTTGAGAACAGTATAGTAATATAAGTAAATCTCACAGTAAAAGATAAACTCTTGTATATAGAGATTATAAACCAGATATGTACAACGTCTCGGGCAACATGTACACCTCGAAAGTACGAGCAGCTTTACTAAAAGACTCTTATTTAATTCCAATGGGAGTGTTTCTAACGATGGAAAATATAGTGGCAATCTTCATTCTATATCGTTGTTCCCGACTTAATTTTCAGATAAAGATTTTGTCCATCAATATGGCCGTTACAGACCTATTGACCGGCGTCATGCTCAGCACGCCATTAGAGGTTCTTCTTGTCGGCAACGAAAGATGTGAACTGAAGAAATACGTGTCGTTCTTATTTATCAACACCTCTATCTTCACAATTACGACCTTCAATCTGGACCGTTGTTTTGTTTTTTGGCTTGCAATGCGGTACTATTCGTACATAACCAAAAAATTGGTAGTGAAATCCTGCGTTTTTTTGTGGATAACAAGTTTTATCGTCACCTACTTCATGTTTTATGATGAAGACCACTCGTATGGAATTTGCTGTGGCTATATGTACACGCTAAAGAAAAACATTATTAACAACGCTGTAAAGTCTTTTCTCTTACTTCTGGTTTTTTCCAATCTTATCATGTATGGGTATCTGCTCCGCTGCATTAAAGGTTCCCTTAGAAGAACCTTTGATCTTTCACATTTCAGGACCTGTAAGATGATAAATAACCAATCAAATGTCGTTAAGAAACTATCCGTGATCACAGGCCTTTTTCTGGCAATGTACACTCCCTTTATTCTGACTCTAACATTTCCGATTCTGGATTACTCAAAAACGTCAGGGAAGTTGATTCACACTTTAACGGGTGTCTTAATGGTTCTAAACAGTGCCGTTAACCCTATCTTATACATATGGAGGTTCAAGGAACCAAGATACCAGTTAAAGAGGTTACTGTGTTTCTTTCACAAAAATTATCTTGAAAAGATGCAACATGCCTACACCAGTGAAGTTGCAACTTACAACATTAGCACAGAAAAAGACGTTTATACATTTAGCTATGAAAAAGGTCAAGATTCTGTGAGACAAGGATATTGTACATCCAACGAGCTTAAAGTAGATATGTGATAGTTTTTTAAGTTATATGAAAAAGTTGTAGAATCATTTATTGACGTTAACTAGTGAATCCTCGGTATCTTTACATGTTCATATATTTGTAGTTAGTGTTTTGCGTCATTAAATGCTTGAAAAGCAAGAGATTTTTTCTTTTACAAACACAAATTTTCATGCGAACATATATATATATTCTTAAATATTTCTATTTAAGACAAGGGAGTTGTTTTTTTTTTTCTTTACGTCTAAGCACAACCAAGGATAGACTCTACTTTAGTAATTTCTGATTGGTAAATTCAGCCTATCTTACAAATTCCAGAAACAAGAATTTACACTAAAAATAACGAATAAATCCATTATTTATATTTTAAAAATTCGGATGTGTATGACTTTTAACCTAACATTTCTTGACAAAGATGACCAAAATCTTTCTGGATTTTTTAAATATACAACTACACTTTAGTTATGTTCCGTATTCCTTTTAACTCTACTGTATTTTCTTTGCTATATTGCCAAGAAATTCTATTCTTAAACCAGCTCATACAATGACTTAAACGGGATCTTCTCCATATTATATATATAGAGCCCCCCCCCCCCTCTCCAGTAAAGTCATAAATGTTCCGTTGCGCAAAAACTCCAATAGGTCAACACAACCTCCCCCCCGGCTCTTGTTTCTTTAACAATGTGTCTATAAAATACATTTCACAAAACAATTATAACTTTATCACTCTCCAGCCTCGATAAAAATTAAAGAATTTAGCAAAATAAATTACTTAATCAGGGATCCTCCTTTCTGTGTTTAAAAATTGCCACAGCGCTAGCTCACCTATCTTTTTAAAAGATAAACTTGTTATTACTAAATGAGTTGTAATGTAAGTTGAATTTGATTGGAATTCTGATAAATATCCTCAGAATACAAGGGGACAAGATGCGCATTGTATCATTAGTCCAGTTTAAAGAGATACAATTTGACTCTAAAATTAACAATAAAAATCCAAATTCTGTGTCGGATGAAAGGGTATGTACATGTACATATTACACATGGCATTCTGATATGTTGTTTTTATAAATTTTCATATAATTGAAATATGAAAATAAGGAACATTAACAAGTTCAAAAGTCGTGAGCAAACGCGAAATTCTGAAATCATCAGAGATTGGATCCGGTGCCATGAAGGAGTAAGCATCACTTGTCAACCGGTCTGACCCGCGCGCCATGTGGTTCTTGTAATGAAAATCGGGGGGAAATCGTTAACTATACAGTGGGTAAGTAGTAGTCTAAGAATTGGCGTGAAATACGTCAGTCTGCATTCTTCCTAGTATCATGACTGAATTTGCTGGCAAGAACATAGCATTGACCAAATAAGAAGAAGGTATCGTTTTAGCTTTATTGTACCCTCTAAAATATAATGTTTTCCAAAAGTTCTGAAACTGGCTTAAATATTTCTGAAGTTTATGACTGTGAAAGAGCAGGAAATAGTATGGAATGAAGGAGCGCCATTCTGGAAATATGACGTCATTAACTTGATTTATTTCTCTATTTCAAACAGAAAAGCCTCAAAATGACCAATTTGAAGGGTAATTTTCTACCAGAAAATAGTGCCCATAGCCGTCACCCACTAAAATTTTGGGATACAGTATGTTTTGAAAAAAAAACAATAAAAAAATCTCATATTTCAAAATCTGTGTGGGTGATGCGTGTAAACTAAATTACCTTAGAGAAAATTCCATTGAAAATCTTCTGCAACTTTTTAACAAAATATTGGAAAATGCACATGTATATATGACGTCGCAATGAGCAATCCAAATTACATTACAAAAGTATTAAAAGTTTTTACTTAAGTTAATTTCTGCTTTTTTTCAATTGAGTGGTATTTGAAATTTTAAATCCATCATCCCGTTTTTACTTTTTCTTGATTATCTTTCCTTGGAAGGTGACTCGTGTGACCTATTGCTATCCGTTTTTGTTCGTCTTTGTGCAGCGTGCTTTGTGCGTTAACATTTGAACATTTTCAGCTTGTTATCTGAACCAATTTCAACCAATTTTGGCATACCGCATACTAGTATGTTGTTGAAGGGGAATAAAAATTGTAAAAATCATGGACACTCCCCCTGGTGTCGAGGGGTCGGGTAAAAATTGATGCAATATTTAAAAATCTTCTTCTTTACTCCTGGATATCAAGCAGCCAAACTGTTGGCATAATTGTAGTAAGCTTTGCGTCTCCTTCCAAAATTGTGAATTTCATGTTGCATTGGCAGGGGTTCTGGTGATTATATAGTGAAAATGCTTGAATCGTTTGAAATCCTCTCCTCTGCTCCTGGGTATGAAATCAAAGAACTTTGTATAACCAGATTTAAGATTTTCCAGAATAATTTGCGTTATTTTTTGCAAATCAACCATGAGAGGCTGGAATACTACGGAAGCCCGTTGAGGCCAGTTCAGAGAAAGAAATAATTTTTATTGCGTTTAAAAGCAAAATTTATTACGTTTAATCGCAAAACTTTGCGTTTAATCGCAATGATCATTGCGTTTAATTGCAATAATCATTGCGTTTAAACGCAAAACAATTGTGATTGAAAAAAGATTGTGATTAAACGCAATCTTTTGCGATTAAAAGCAATAATATTGCGATTAAACGCAATAATTGTTTTAGACGCAATAATTATTGCTTTTAAACGTAATAATATTTTTGCGTTTAATCGCAATAATTTTTTAGTTTAATCACAATATTTTTTTGCATTTAAACGCAATAATTTTGCGATTAATCGCATTAATTATTTGCATTTAATTAAACGCAATAATTATTTTCATTTAAATGCAATACTCTTTGCATTTTATCGCATTAATCCTTCCTTTTTAAGGGTTTGTTTTGAATTTAAACACAATGATTCAGTGCTGTAGTTTGACATCAAGCATCGGCTAGCCAAAAAGTATTATGAATACTACGGTCTGATTCTTTAAAGAAGAACCGTTTTGTTTTGTGTCTTGTTGCTAAATGTTGCAGTTCGTGAGATTTGAATTTTAACAATGACATCCTAAGTAAACAACCAGAGTTTCTTAAAGCTATTAGAATCCAACATTTTTAACGCATTAATCAATTCCGTCGGTATAACACCAAATTAAGAATGTTTCAGTGGTATAAATAGTCATATCAGTTTGGTAGTACACATCGATCGATCTGTTTTCATTTCATTTATTTCTGATTTCATATGATTCCATCTCCTAAATTCTCGTGTTCTCGTGTTTACTGTATGTGATCAAAGGAAAGGTTTTGAATAAACATATACATAATATGTACATGTACATAAACTTAACTCTAAACATTTCATCAGTCGTTTCCTAAAGCCCTATATAGAGGTACATTGTGTAAACTATGTTACCGCAACGTGGAGTGATAGTTTTTCCATCATTATTTCTTCTCTAGTCTTTTATTTTGAAATTCCTTTAAAATTGTTTGCATAGTTTTGCATGTGCTATTGCTTTGTTTCTTTCTATGTCTTTGTTTCTATAGACCGACACTTTTTTCTCCTCTTTAAATCCACACCAAGATTTAACCATTTAAAAAATGCTTGTTCAAAAGAATCTGATTCTATAAACTTAACAATACAGAATTCTCTTCATAGGTTAATGTACAAAAGAAAAAAGAAACAAATATCAGCAAGGATCCATTGCACTCTTCAAAGATCAATTGAAATGTTTGTTTTAAAAACAAAGATTATTGCGTTTAAATGCAAAAAATTATTGCGTTAAATCGCAATAATTTTTGCGATTAAACGCAATATTATTGCGATTTAACGCAATTTATAATTATTGCGTTTAATCGCAAAAGTATTGCGTTTAATCGCAATATTATTGCGATTAAACGCAAAAATTATTGCGATTAAACGCAATAATTAATGCGTTTTATCGCATTAATACTATTGCGTTTAATCGCAATATTATTACGTTTAATCGCAATCTTTTGCGATTAAACGCAAAGTGTTTTGCGTTTAAACGCAATGATTACGATTAAACGCAAAGTTTTGCGTTTAAACGCAATAATTATTTCGATTAAACGCAAAGTTTTGCAATTGAACGCAATAATTATTGCGTTTAAACGCAATACAAAATATTTCTTTCCCTGGACTGGCCTCAACGGGTTTCCGTACAATACAAACAAAATTTAATTATATTTTTTTATATTTAAGGTGACTCCACCCTCACAATTTTATAGGTTCAAAGTACAAAAACTGCATTTATTTCATTTAATATACTTTAAACTTTCCAATTATTGCACCAAATGTATAGGTCACCATATTATTTAAGATGCGAAACATAGATAAACAGAAGTGCATGTCAACATAAAAAATCGCACATTTTTTTGTAAACAGTATTATGAAAAATACGTAAAAACTGGCTAAAAGGCATAATTCTGATGCTGAGTGTTCGTAAATACTTCCTACTTAAAAGATACTTTTGAATTGTGAATATCAGGGAAACTATTTTACAATAAAGCAAATGCCTGAATGAAGAAACCTTAGAAGGAGTTATTGCCCTTGTCAACATTTTTTAAAGATTGAATAATTGATTAAATATAGAAAATATGCATTTTTTATATTCATTAACTTAAAAATATTTATCATTACACCTATTGTAAAGCATTTTACAAGAGATATTGTTCTATTAGGTATGAATTTAAACTAATTACAGTTTTTGCAAAATCCTATGACATGATCATAGGAGGGTGCATGGAATTTCTTTAATATGGAGCGCAATCTCTGATCTAAGATAAGCAACTAGAAATTTTTTTATGATAGAACTGTTTTTGAGGATTACAACTACAAGACATAGTGTTTTATTTTTTAGGTCAGAGGGTGCGCACATTTATATTATTTTTAGAGAAGAAAAAAAATATGAGCGCACTTAACAGACATCTGATGATTAGCAATTAACAGCTGCGTAGATACACATAACTCGTTATCTCTGTAACATTTTGCTCTCGTACGTTCCCTTCGTTTACTACTTGATATTTGCTA